CCTCCTCGTCCCCGGCCACCGCTGTCGCCTCCGCTGCTGCAATCCAGGGCGCACGCTCTCCCACTTTCCCGCTGGCGGCGCGGAGGATGCGCCTTGCAGCAGTCGGGGAGAAATAGCCTCCCGGCCGGGCTGAAAGACCCTTGGTGGCGAGGAAGGAAATCCGGGCTCCGCTTCCCTTGATGGCACTGCAGCAGCTGGCAGCTGGGACTGCGCCCACGAAACGGACGCGCCAAGCTGGACGCGGGAGGCGCAGAGAGGGACCCCAGGCGCCGACTGAGCTCGGGCGGCGGAGTTCGCAAGTGACTGGGACTCCTCAGGTAAGGACCGGGGGCCTGGAGCTGCTGGGAGGCTCCGGAAGGGAGCTGGGCGCCGGGCTGCTGCGCAAGGATTCTTGTTCCCAGGCGGGGCTGCTGTCCCGGCCGCTCGCCCGCAGACCCAGGCTCGGCGCTCAGAGCCCGAGGGAGAACCCACAGCTGCGACAACCTAGCCCTGGGTAGCTGACGAACTTTACTCTGGCCCAGGCTGGGACATGGTGGCCCATCAGGCGTCCCTGCTGTGGGCATCTCTTTGGCTCCCTAAAGCTTCCCCAAGAGGGCTTCGCAGCTGAGCTCCTGGGGCCAAGGCAGGGTCCTTTTGAGAATCGCCCGTTCCTCCTGGCGAGGGGTGGAGGGGGTTCCCAGGGAGAAGGAGCAGATCGTATTTACAAGTTAGCTCTGCGAGGTGTGGGTTGGGGATGATGCTGGCAGATGAGGCTCGCTGTGTCTGGGCCGTGTAGAGGGATGTGCACACTTGAAGTGTCCACTCGGAGGTGTTGGCGTGTGTGTAAGGAGAGAGAAGTGGAGGCTGGGAGGCTCGTTTAGCCAGAACGGCCCCATGCAAGCCCTTCCAGCAGTCCCAAGTGTCCTCACAGAAGCCAACTCACCTCCTTGGCAGAGCTCTAGAAGGGGTGGAGGTCACCGCCTGATTCCTTGTAGTTCCAAAGAAGCTGCTTTTTTAAGATAGGGGGGAAAAAGGAGGGAAGTTTCCTGGACTGCTCAATGAAACCATTCAGACTGGTGCCTGGGGAGGTGCAAACTTTCTGTAGCAAAGGAGCACGAAGGGATGAGTGAACAGGGCATCCTGGCACGGTGGTCCCCAGCTCTGGGGATGTGGGTGGTCCCCTCACACTGCAGGCCCTTTGAGGGTCTGTGGAGTCCCACACGTAGCTCACGAGTACGGCCAGATTATTATTTTCTTTCTTGTGAAAAGCCTGCTCCGGAGAGGCCACCTAGTCTCCAGGGATGATTTTGGAGCAGAGCCCCTTGGAGGGTTCCCTGCTGTGGTTGCAGCTGAAGAAGGGAGCCAGCTTGACGCCCTACTGGTTGGGACTCAATTTTACCTGTGAGGCAGAGACTGGAGGGTCAGGACCCTCCCCTGGTGCTATCCTCACTGCCCGCCTCTGAGAGTAAGGTTCCTGTGTGCTTCCCGGACAGTCAGTTCTTGGGGCAGGAGATGGAATTCAGAGGACCTCCTCTCCTTGTTGGGATTCTGATCTGGGGTCAGGTTATGAGCTGCTTTCCCAGGCTCCCAGAACCCAGGAATCCCTCTGGGGTGTCATGGCCTGGTGCTTGATGTCTTGGTGAGAGCCTCAGCTCTGGGTCAGGATCTGCTGTGTGACTTTGGGAGAAAGACCTCTTCGGGCTCTCCTTGGGCTCCGGCTGGGCTGCTGCTTCTCTAAAGTGAGGGAATGATATATTTCTTTCAGGGTCTCTCTATTCAGACACCTGAGGCCTCTGAGCAAGGTCACCTATGAGACTTTCAAACCCCCAGAAGATGTTTAAGAGATCCAGGTCTCAAATCAGATCCAAGTTGGACCAGTTACTTCTTTTTCCAAGCTTTGACTCCTCCTCTATAAAATGTCACAGCTCCTACTTCAGAAAGACACTGGGAGCCCTGAGTGAGATGGAGTGGAAGAGTGCGTGTCTAGCAGAGCCTGGTGCTCAGCGTGGATAGCAGCAAGCTCTCCTCTTTGGGGTCTTGACCTTGTGCATCCGGCTGTAGCTTCCCAGGAGAGACTGGCTCTCTCACCCACCCCAAGCAAAAGTGATCCTCGATTAGGGGGCAGGGTCCTCTTTCTCTCCAATCACCTGATACCTGCAGTCCCCGCCCCCTCTCTGCTTCCTCTTAAAAGCACTGCTGGGCCAGCTGCTTCCAGGGGGGAGCCCAGGGCAGTCTGGGAGGGCTGGATGCACCCAGCGGCTGTGTCGCCATGACAACAGGAGGTGGTGGTAAGTTGCCTCTAGGGCTTCAACTTTGTGGCTGTCTGGGGACCCAGAGCAGAGAAGTCCCGTCTGTCCCGCGTCAAGCATCGCATCTGCCGAGGGACTAAGGGCTGCTCCACGTTGGTCAGGGAGGCTGCTGCTCCTGGCAAGCACAGCCACACCAAGCAACGAACTCTTGTACAGCC